GTGCTTGTTCATAGAGGATATTTCCTCTAAACTTTGCGAGCTTGTTTTATCCGATTTAATGGGATGTTTTCACCGGATAAATTCACCTAAAGGTCCAGAAGCACGTAATTCTATTTCTTTGGTATAAACTGTTTTCAATTATGTGTGAATTCTTCTTGGAGTAAACGTTATTCACTCCGTATTTAAAATTCAGCTAAATTCACTTCAATGAAGAAAGTTTTGTGTTTAATTTTAGAGGACTATATTCACATTCTTCGACCTACTGTTCAATTTCGGAGTTTAGTTTCACTTTATGTATTCGACAAGTCATTCTAAAGATGTGAAATAATGGATTTATTTCAGGATAGCTCACTGCCAATCACTCTTTTCATATGCTATCGATTTACAAGTTTTTGATACGTTCACACTTCAAAATGGTATTGGATGTCAAAAATGATGTAGTGAAAGCGTTTGCGAAGCGAATATTTTTGAAGGAAATGATGGATCATTGCTAGGCTATCTTTAATTTATAATTTAAAAATCATAAAGTAAATTGAATGATAAAGTAAATAAAGTAAACAAATACGTATTTTTCTCAGTGAAAGGAGTATACCTCAAGCATACAGTAAATCACATGCGTTATACCTATTCGATTGGTGTATTAGCTTGTGATGCTTTACATGTTTCTTGCTATACCAGATTTGATCGTTATGGCATTAGTGAAGATATTTGGATTCCTTTATTAATAAAAGAAAATTTTGAAAAAAAAGTAGTGGGATTTTCTGAGGAAGTTTTTATTTATTATAATGATAGTTGTTTCAAGTACAACTATAAAAATATTAGCTTTTTATACTTCTACTATTTTTATCTCTTTAGTGGTGGGTTTTTTGTCTATTTTTTGCCAGAGATGCAGAAGATAGATATTTGAACTTTCAGAAGCCAGTTCATCTCACTTTTAATTGCATGCTTCATTCTCAGTTTAGTACAGAAGACAGCGACGTTCCTCAGTTTAATGAAAGCTTGTGGCAACTTTTGTTTTTCCAGATGAAAATGCCGATCAATGACAGCTTGACATTGCTGTATTAGCTGAAACGTTAATCAAAACAGACACGAAAGCTGATAGCTGTATGGAATACGGTTTAGTTTGAGACATGTCTATTGTATAGTTTGGCGGTGGTGAATGGAAGTATAAGAGATAAGTCAAGTCATATATAATTTTCAAAATTTAGATTGAATTTGCCAACAGTCGTGTTTTTTCCAGAAGATATAGACTTTTTGGTGAATCACGGGCATGCTTCACCTGCTATTTGTCTTATCTCCTATACTTATTCACTAATTAGGTACCAAGAATGGAGAATAAAATTGACAAATAGCAAAATTCTGTAATGGCATAGCAGTGAATTTCTTTCCCCTCTTGGGGAGATTTAGTCTCAATAAAAATAAACTGCAAATTACACGAATCATTCGTAATTGTTACATTTCAGCGTTCACTGTCTACCCTAACAAATATATTTGGGTATATTTGTTCTTCCGAAAAATTATCTAAAAGAATTTTAAGACGTCTTCCGGGCTAAAATAAATATTAAATCTGCTTTGTTCAACGAGTTCCATTATATCACCGATGGTGGCTCAGTCTGGTTTGAATATGATCATAGTTGGAATACGGAAGAACAGGACATTTCTATTTATACAATAAATCTCACGAAGCAATTATGGACATTTTGTGTATCTAGAATGTAAACAGTTTTCCATTCTGGACCAGTAATATACGGAGATTAATTATTAATTAAAAGAATGAAATGGAATCATTTCCACATGTTGCTTCAATAAGGTGCACCTGTAAAATTCGAAAAAAAGCATTTAAATGAACTTTTGAAAGTATTCTGAAAAGTTTTGCAAGAATGCTACTAATTTATCATTTTTTCTGTTCATATCATATAGATTTACTTGACGGAAAATAGTAAAGTTATGGGAAAAATACAATAGTAGTAAAGAAATATGATAATTATATGATTAAGTTTCCAATCATTCTATGATTGGAATTTCAATTTATTCAAATCCACTAGTAAATTATTAATAATGAAAAAAGCATAATTAGTTCACCTGATCGAGTGGCAAAAAGTATGTTTGAGAAGGGAAAAAATATTCCTCTCTTATTATCAATTAACAATTTCATCAAATTTTATCCATTTAATGGAATACATTTTGTCATCTTTCTTAACGTACCCATTTTAATCCATTTTCTTATTATGTTATTAATTATTGATGATGTTATATATATATATTTGTTTATTTGTTGTTAAATGATTTGTTTAGTTATAAACAAATTTTGTGCTTTATATAAGAAAATTTAAAAAAGAAAAACTTACTTCATCCAATAAACGTACAACAGTTGCAGCTAGTGTTTTCAAATCCCCACATTTATCCGGTCCATATCTAACCCGAAAAAGTATATTCAAATAACCATTATCATTGCTGCAATAAAAATTATTTCGTTTCACTTTCGATATTTCATTTCGAATTTTATCTTATTTTACAGAAAATTTGTAATTCAGATTTGTGAAATTGAATTGTAAATTTAAAACGAATTGCTGATGGTAGAAAGATATAGGATTCAATATCAATATCAATTCTTAAATCAGCTCCATTAAATTAGTAACTAAAATCAAGAAATATATTCAATTTCCACAAAAGAAAAAAGAATTGTCAACGATGATTCAATTATTCGGTCATGAATTTCATTAATATTGAATCATTATTTGTCTAATTTAATTTTGGGGAAATCCCAGCAATATTTTGAATTCTCCTACAATAAATATGATGACATCATTATTTTAATATTATTATTATTATTTGTTTGTCCTTTTTTAATATTTCGAACTACATTATTTTTCTTGATATTTTAATTAATTCTTAACGTTTGAATTAGTTCGTTTTAATTAGCTCCAAACATTTTAATTGGAAACATTATTATTATTATTATTATTATTATTATTATTATTATTATTATTATTATTATTATTATTATTATTATTATTATTATTATTATTATTATTATTATTATTATTATTATTATTATTATTATTAATTATTATTATTATTATTATT